AGAAACGAATAGAAGCAAAGAGTCTCAGAGGGATATACAGATCTGATGTTATTTTCAAAAATCGGTCCAATATCAGCTCTAAATCTAATAGTGGAATATATCGGCCTGCATCTAAAATCTCTGATGAAGAATAAGCAAGATGATAAAAACCCTTTAAATAGAGGCACTCTGTTTCTATTTGAAGTTTCTCTAACCTGTTGGCTAATAATAAATGCATCAGTCATTCTTATACCTATTGATGTTGACTATTGTGCTTTACTTACTTTATTTGTGATGTTATTGTATCATGTCAGTGTCTGTATCATTCAGTATTCAAAGCTGCAGTATCAGTATCGTATCAGAATTGATAAATCTGTATCAGCACACCCACACCACAGGGTTTCTTTCAGCCTGTTACTATGGAGATTTATGATGCAGGCCGATATATATATCCTGATATGCATTATTTTGTCTGATATTGACCATATCTGACTAGGAAAGGACTGAGCAGCAGGAAAAAAAAAAAAAACACTGACTCAAAACGCTGTTAACACAGTTAGCTGCACCCAACCTGTTACCTTTGGAAAAAGTAAATTAGCGGAGAGGGGGAAAAAAACTGAAACATGGGACATGTCCACACCAGTCCTTCAGTCTGGGCTCATCCAGTGTGGGCCGACAGATAGGCTAGTAGTCAAAGGTGAAAACATATTGAGTGAATTTACATAGTTGATTTAATATATTTTTTTCAGATTCTATTAAATCCTTTTTCAAATTGTTTTTTACAGGTGAAATTATTTTCCTTTGAAGTCTAATATAAACACTGTCTTGACCAAAAAAACATTTCAATGCAGAGCAAAATACATCTTCACTCCTCACTCTAGAGGAAAGCCCGCCTCCCAGAAGTGAAGAGAGTGAGAAAAATATCTATATATACTGTATGTATATATAGAGAGAGAGAGAGAGAGAGATAGAGAGAGAGAGAGAGAGAGAGAGAGAGAGAGAGAGATTTTTATTTATTTATCAAAAGTTACATTTAAAAAAAATGCAATTTAGAAATATAAAATCTGAAAGAAAAAAATAATAATTTGAAAAGAAAAAAACTAAATATAGGAATACGAAAATTATTATTCTGGAAACCTTTTTCGAATCAAACTTTTTCAAAGTTTGATTTCTGGACTCCTTTTTCTTTTTTATTTGAATTTACAAAATGTGTTCTTTGCTTGGAACTAGTGTTTTGGCCCCGATACCCGATACCTGGCTGTGCAGTATCGGCCGATACCGATACCATAATAATGTCAAATAATTGCCATCATGGCTTCATGTCAAGCTGCTGCCTGCCTTTGTGAAGCAGGAAAAAATCTAATACAAAGTGAATCCAGTAGAACTTTCTATTGCCTACCAGGAATGGGTGACAATAGTTGAATAAACTTATGGCTCTCAAAATGGTATCGTTGCCGATACCGATACCACCATTTTAGGGCATTATCGGGACCCCGTCCGATACTTGTATCGGTATCGGTGCAACACTACTTGTAACAATAATAAAACAAAGTTCATTTCATATAGCGACAGCTTAGTCGAAGGACTGGACTGCCCTGTTTCTAACATAACACCAAAATAAGCATCACTGCTATATTGAATTAACTTATTTGGCCAGCAGAAGGCCTAAGCTCCTCATGTCCATTTTGGAGTCCTGCTCCCTCATAAATTGTCTGTACCTGGTGAAAGCTGAGCCAATGTAGACGCTCCTTTTCTTCAGATTTTTACCTACCTTTCTTCTTTTGGTTTGTTTCTCTTGCCTCTCATAGTATGTATGGAACTCTATTTGAAAAGAAAGTAGAAAGTAGAACAATCTACAGGTGTTTTTGCTTGTTTAAAACTCCTCCAACATGTTTCAGATAGTCTGATCAAAAAGGGAACCTCAGCATGGCATCAACCATTGGGTGCACCATGTCCTGTGTATTTATAAATACCAATTATGCTATGAGAACACTTTCATTTTTCATGTGATGCTTTTAGACTTTCAGATAATATTTATTGATAAACCTAAAACCTGAATTTTACAAGTAAAAAGAAATTTCACACTATCCCTTTAAAAAAAGCTGACAGTTAAATAACCCAGAGAATTAAAGGGTTTTTATATTCTCTGATGCACATTTGAATCACACAACCTCTTAGTGTAAAGCCAGATCTATATTTACATATAAGTGAGTCTGTCAGTGAGGAATTGTTGGACTGAATTACTTTCTGTCTCCTTGTTTGAATTTGTTTAGTTCATCTGAAGCGGGTTTGTGTGCAAAAAAGCCACATTTTAAAGATAAAAAGCATAACAGACTACAGAGAAACAATCAGTCCTCCTCTCTGAAAAAATGAACCCCTGCCCCCACCTCCTCATTCGCTAAAGGTTCTCATTTTAAAGTCAAAACCACAGGAAAAGTTGGACATCTCCCTTTAACTATAGCTGTTTCTCTGAGTGCTAAATGCATTTGCATTTTCACAAAAGAGAGAGAGGATTTTCATTTTAAGGCTTGCCTTCTTTAAAGCCCCAAATATTTCATAAACTGTGTTCTCTGGAATAAGAAGGAGGTGCATTACAGAAACACTTTAAAGCCAGCAGTCATTTTAAAAACCTTTGCCCAGAAATATCAGTCTGAATTGTTTAACGAAGTTCTGTGCAGACAGAGGAGTGTCTGCCAGCTTGTGGTGCACCAAAATGGTTATAAAAGATGAATATTAAATGCAGGGGAAAAAAACTTTCATTTTTATAAATCACCAGTCTGATACTTGCTTTGCTTTACAGGCATTACAGACATGAAAATCTGATGCATTTGGTAATTTTCAGCGATAACAAAGCTGATTAATTTCCATATATGATGTTCAATAAATGCTTTAAAAATCTGAATTTGGCCTCCAAGTTTGTTTTGTGGATTTTATGTGATCGTTACAGATTATTAATTATACAAATATGTACATAGACACAGGCTAAAATTTAAAAAACAAAACATCCCATTGCAAATCATAGGTTTAAAAAACACCCAAAACCATTTGATCCTAATAAAATAAAGTTATATACAACAAGCTTCCATCCTATTAGCCCTGTTTGAGCAAAAATAGAATTCCACCACCTGAAAAAAAGAGATCAGAAAATAGAAAAATCTCTTGAAAACGTGATTTTCAAAAATCAAAAATATGACTTCTGTAAGAATGAACAACTTTGGTATAAAAAATATGTAAAAAAAAAAAAAAAAAAAGAACATCTAATGAAAGAAAAAAATATCAGAAAAATGTCAGAGAAAACAGAGCAGTAACTCTCAAAACCTACAAAAAGTTTTTCTGCATTGCTTTTTATGCAAATTTTCTATTTACAAACTGTGATGTTTGCTTAAAAAAACTGGAACAAAATCCTTTATACGACCTTATCATTACAGCACACATGACAAGAGAATTCAGAACCAACCTTCATGGTCCAACCTTTATATTTTTTGCTCTAATTTAGAGAATTTTTTTTATGTGCTCCCACTTTCTCAAAATATGATCTTTTTAATGCTTAGCCAAGTTTTTTTTTTTGTTTTTTTTTTTTTTAAATGAGGCTTTTAAATCTGAAAATAAAAATTCTCAGCCATTTATCCTGTCTACTCATGGTCCTCAAAAAAAAAAAAAAAAAAACCCAGGTAAAACCAAACCATTGCCTGTCCTGAACTTGATTACAGTCTAAACTGAAAGGATTTGAAACAACCGAGAGAGAGTGCCAAACCAGGAAATTAGAAAAGGTCTAATTTAAAACCTATGCCTTCATGCTTGTATAGAATTGGCAAAATTAAACCAAAATATGATTTAAAAACAGAAAGGTTCAAATGTATCTATTAATTATATAAATCGCTGCAACATTAATTTCCAATATAAATATCTTAGTAGACCTTTTTGTTTCCCTGCACCTTTAAATCCTCCAGATGTGCTTCAAGCAACGAAGCAGAACATTTTGAACAAATGAGTGCAATATTGTAAAAAGAAAAAAAAAAAAATTACTCTAACAGAGTCTCTTAGAGTGCATCAGAATTTCTCAGATTTTATTGCTGGGCAAGAAAAACAATCACACTATGTTTTGCATGTATATATAAGCCGTGTCTGCAGTAGTAATTCTCTGCTTTCTTCTCCCATCCAGAACCTCAGACTTCACTGATGCAACCCTTTCTCCCTCTGGACCCTGCACTCCAGACCAGACTCCTGAGCGACACTCAGTGGGCGTATGGCCAAACAGATTTAAACAATACTACGGGTTCTGCCGACAGACCCTGCATTCTTAAAAAAACCCATCTGGACCTTCGAGCCACCATAGACCCCAATGACACAAACTGCACTGTTGCAAATCAACTTTACAACCGTTTACAGTCTCATTGTTACGTCACGACTCCAACAACTGCCAGTACCTCAAACACCTCCAACGACGCTACAACGGACGCAACAAACGGAGTTGGCAAGATGAGCAGACTTCGCCCTGTGTCCTTCACTCTGCCTAAGCGAACGTGTGTCCTCCTGCACCAATCCGCTGCCGTCTTTGTCCAAGCAGGAAAGAGTTCAAGTTTGTCTGGGAAACAGCAGGGTGTGGCAAATCAGGAAAGAGCAAAACATCAAGGAGAGAAAACTGCTGATCAGGGGCTGAAGTCTCCAGTGTCTTCAGAAGTGGAAGCCTTGGACACTAGAAACCGGTGCGGTGTGGACAGTCAGATTGAATTTCAAGCTGCTGAGTCTGCAGACAAAGGACTGTTGGAACAGCCTGGGAATAAAGCCTGGATCTCCTCATGCAATAGCAATGTGATTGGAGTGGAGAACTCAACCATTAGTGGGAGTGCAGCCCAGCACTCCTTATGTATAGACAATGAGACTGAGGCCGAATGTGTGGCCGTAGCTCATTTTTCTTCTAACTGTGACAAACCGGAGCAGACTTCTGACAGCATTAGCCCTGAATTAGCCATTGAGTTCAACAATCAGGAGGTAACACCTGAAGAAGAGAAAAATCTGCTTTGCCCAGCACCGAATGACTCTGAAGAGTCTCCAACGTCTCCAACACAACCCGGAAAATCAAGCATCCTCTCATTAACCTGCAACAAAGCAGCATCACCTGTCCATCCAAATCGTCCTAAGGAGCCTTTCTGTCAGGTACTGAGCCGTGATGGAGGCAGGGTTCTTCTCTGGCCCACAGAGATGGTAAACTACACCAAGACATCCCCCTCCATATCTTACAGCATCAACCCTCTACTCTACGACTTCAGAGCCCATCACAAGGCCAAAAACGGGGGCACAGAAAAGAAAGGAGGGCTAGAGGAAGGGAAGGAGGGAATAAAGCCATCTGTGATCAAACAGCTCCACTGCCAAGAGAGGCACGGAGATTCAGAGGGAGGAAGAGGAGCGAAGATAGATGAAAGGGAAGAAGAAGCAGAAGGAGGACAGGCAGGAAATCCTGTGGACGTTGACAACCGTTGCGATAGCTGCGACGCAATCGATGGATGCTTCGGCTGCAGTCATGAAAAGGCTTTAAAATTTACTCCCGTTTCAGCAGAATGCCACTATTCTTCAGTGCAGGGCCTTCAAAAAGCAATGAGGAAAAGGAGAAGAAGGAGGGCAGGGACGGGCAGGGGGATGAGGAGGAGGGGGAGAAAGAGAAGAAAAGGAGATTCAAGTGAGAAAGCAAAGATAATGAGTGCCCTCTCTGCAAGTCAGATGTTTCAGGAGAGAGAAGAAGAGACCCCGAGAAGAGAGGGCAGCGTAAGAGACGAGAGGAGAGATAAAGCGCTATTAAGTAATCTTACTGCAAATCGACCAGAGGAAGGGAGAGAAAAGAAGACAAGGAAAGAGGAGCTAAGGATAAGAGGAGATCAGGCAATGCGAGACGGGGCAGGTAGAAATGACGAGAAGAGGGGAGAGCTATTAAGTAATCTTCCCATGAATCGGTGTAATCGGTGTAACCAGCTGTGTCTGCAGGTGAAGCGGGAGGCCAGCCACATTCAATCCCTCCAATCAGACTCTGGATGGGGCCTTGGACTCAGAAAGCTCCTCTGCAGGGGTGCAGCATGCAACTCTGTGATTAGCCCGGCCCCCAAGTCTGTTATGGAGACATCATGCTGCCCTGCAATTACACCTGATGACAAAGAGATGGAAGGGATGCACAAAGACACACGGGGGGAGGAGGGGCAGGAGCACTGGAATCTGAGGAGTGCTGAGATAAGAAGCACGGAGAATGGTGAGGAAAACACGTGTAAGCTAGCGATTAGCAGTGTTACTTCTCCCTGTCGAGACTCAGCATGTGAGCGCTACGTGCTTAAATCGGGTAGAGAAACAACAGGAAATCCGCAGATTAGCCCCGTCCCCGATTCCTCCAGAGATGCAACACAAACAGTACCTGCAGGACAAAGCTCGCCCACGATAGCTGAGAGCCCACGCTGCTCGGAAACGATGCGGGATGTCACAACGACTGGAAAGAGGAAGGGGGGATCGCCGGGGCGAGTGGCGCCGAAGAAGAAACGAAGGAGAGGAAGGAGACAGTTGAGGAGATTCATGAACATTCTAATGAAAAGGCGACAAAGAGCTCAGGCCTCAGGGGCCTGCTGCGTTCAGGAGCTCAGATCTACAGACCACCACTCGCTTCGTAGGTCGCATCCATCTCCATGCCACAGCTCCAACACCGATGAGGAAACACTGAGCTGTGGTTCTGATGATCCAACCAAGCATGGCTGCCATGATGACGGTGGAGGCTGCAGTCACCTGAACTGTGATCCCTTGATACATCCCCGCGACTGTCACGCCTGTAACCCACAAACACAGCAAAGTCAGGGAGCCAAGGGGTCTATCGGAGACGAAGGAAACGAGCCTGATGCCACATTTGCTGAGGCGTGTCACTTAGATACAGCTGAGCAGAAGTCTTCCTTTAAAAGAACAGAGCTATCTGTGCATGCACGTTTGACTGATTCCCTCACAGGTAGTACTAACTACCAACGTCAACAGGAAAGCAAGCACACAAACGAAGAGAAAGACTCTACAAACGGAGAAATCTGCAAAACCGATGACACATTTCACTGCAGCTGCAACTTTAATGATAAAATTGACAGGAGAGATCGCAGTGCGGAGGCTGAGACCAAAGCACAGCGTGACATTCAGGAGAGAGGCCCTTCCTCTGATCCAGAAAATGATTCTAGAAGCTGTGGGGATGTTCATCAGAGTGGAACTGACGGTGGTCAGCGCCGTGGTTTCAGCTGTAATCCTGATTGTAATACTGCTAATAATACCAGAAATGAAGCAGAACATGTACTCATGAGGGAGAGGCAGAGAAAGCAGCAGGAGGAGGAAGAGGAGGAGGAGAAGCTCTTGGAGAGGAGGAGAGAGGAGTGGGAGAAGGAGTGGGTAAGCAGGAAGGAGAAGGAGGAGAGGGAGAGGAGGAAAGGGATGGAGTTTGAGCGTTTGTTTTCAGAGAAGAGGCCGTGTTTTCCTCATCACCTCCCCCCGCACTGCGTCCCCCTCCGTGCTCCGCTCCTGCTCCAGCCGTCCCTTTCCTCCTCCTTCTCCTTCCATCAAACCTTTATCCAACACAACATCTCCCTTCTGCCGCCTCCATCACACCTTCCCCTCTCCTCATTCCCCCACCTTTTCCCTTCCTTCTCCCCGCACCTCTCTCCAATGGCTCCACCACCGCCCCCTCCTCCCCCTCCTATATCTTTCCCTCCATCATTTTACGCCTCCTCCCCAATTCCCCTCCTGGATGCTCCCTCTCCTTACCCCTTAGCAGCAGCATTTCACCCCCTTCAAAGTCCCCATCCTTCCCTGTACCCTCCTCCTCATCCAGCAGTCCTGCCCTTACAGGTGTTGCTCTAGGTCGTCCTTTTCCCCCAAGAGAACTTCCCCAACATTACCTAAATAAAACATCCAGGCTGAAATCTGAGTGAATTTAAAGTCTAATTGAAAAACTAATCCGATAGTTCTTAAAGCAGAGCTTGTTCCATCCTTATGCTTCAGCACTGACGCACATGGCTGAAAGAAAAAAGAAAAAAGGAATAAAAGATGGCTAATTATCCTCATCAGCCGCAATCCCGCTCCAAATGAGCCTCAGGTGTGCAGGCTGTGGGATCATGGCGCCAATTCACAGCTGGGCTCGTTTGGCTCAGCAGAAATCAGTCAACGCTTCCCGTTTTGCATTTCAAACCAATGATTTTCTTTCTGGGGGAATTTTGGTGATGTTGAGTCCTTGCATACTTTCAGATATCTTCACTCTGTGATTAGAAGCACAGGTTTTTTTCCCAGAGGGTGTTTCCTTTTCAGTGTTTTTGGAGACATCATAAGGCTGATCCTCAAAACAATAGAAAGGATCAGCCAATAAAAACTAAGTCAAAGTATCTTCAAAAGTATGACCAGTCATGTAAAAAAAATATTAGACCACCCTTGTTTTCTTCAATTCATTGTTAATTTTTTATCTACAAGACATTATTATAATAAAAACACATAAAAAGAGTTTAATTCAAGAGTGCATTTTTAGACATTTTCCATGGTTTCATGCAGCGATCCATTTTTTCCAAACTGACAATGCTGAGCATCTTATTTCTACTTATTCCGATACTCCCGCTGAATAAAAAAAAAAAACACAAAAAAAAACACATTACTTTGTGAATGAAGGTTTCAGGCTGGAAATAAACTTTGTTTAAAATAAAAAAAAAAATAAGTTTATAACAATCCGGTTATAACTTAACCCCCATATAACTTAATATTATCTACAAAAAAACAAATGTAAATTAGAAGCCAAACTAAATAAATAACACCTCCACATAAATTAAACAGCTAAAATAGGTTTTAGAGTGTAATTTAAAACATAGCAGCTGCTGAAACTTAGATGCTGTATCTGTAAAATAGAAAACAAAAATCATAAATAAATAACAGCTACTTAGTCGATATTACAGCCAATATCCGATACAGCCTCTTATTAAACACACTTTTTTTTCTTTGTGTGGTTTACCGTCTCTGGGGGCCAGAGAAGAACCCTGCCTCTGCATGTTTTATTATAACAGTGCAGAGGCAGTAGTATCTGCAGCACCGGGATCCCTTAGCCACAGGCTACCAAAGTGAGTCCAAACCTCCAGAGAAATGGTCTATTCTTTCCGTCATTCCCTGGTTCCACAGCAGGCAGTCAGGTTATCCTAAGATCTGTACTCTCTCACCACCTCATGGGCTTTATTCCTAAAAGGTGTTAACTGGTTGTTCCAATGTCTCTGCTCGGAGGTCCTTCAAGGACAGCCTGGCCTCCTGCAAAATGTCCACCTGTTGGTGCAGCTATTTGAATATATGAACAGAGGTAATGCACAACCTGCCGCACAGTACGCGGTCCAGGTCAACCTGCTGACAGCAAATAGACTCCATCACTGTGGGCATTGTTGAACAACAGCTATGACAGGTAGTCCGCCCAGCCTGCTGAACCCAGAACACAGGCACCCATGTAACCCCTTGCTCACACTGGCTCCGGTGCGGTTACCGAGCCAACGGAGACCGCAACTCCCGCACACCCCCTCTCACACCGCCCTTTTGACTACGGTGCGGTGCGGCTCTGCGGCTCCGGCAACAGGTCCGGAGATTTAACAGAAGTTCACTTGAGTTCACATAACTTTACGCGATAACACGGCCCAAATAAGGATATTTGCGAGAGCTTGTTGCGGAGGGCTCCGGCACGCCGCAAGGATAGCTTTCTTGCGGAATTTTCTGCAGCGCCGGAGTGTCTCGGTAACCGCAGCCGGACATTACGTCTTTTTAATGACTTGGAATCACTGCGCCGCCGCACCCACCGCACCGCAACAGTAAGACCGGAGTCGGTGTGAGCCGGGGGTCAGAGATCCCACACTTATAGCATTGTCTATCTGCGGCTTGTGATGTGCAATCAATGCGCTTTGCCACAAGAAGGGCGGCTTGTTGGGTAACACGGATAGTCACAGCAGCTCTACAACTGCCTCTTCTCTCCTTACTACGGCTCCAGAAACACACCGAATGGGTACCATAGCATAAGCAATGGGATTTAGAGGCTGGAGTCTCCTATCAGCTTTGTCTTCATCCATCCATACATTATCTGACACGGTTGTCCCAATTGGGGTTGCGAAGGGTGCTGGTGTCTATCTCCAGCAGTCAATGGGTGAGAGGCGGGGTCCACCCTGGACAGGTTGTCAGTCCATCGCAGGGCAACACAGAGACACACAGGAAAAGCAACCATTCATGCAAACACTCACACCTAAGGAGAATTTAGAGAAGCCAATTAACCTAACAGTCATGTTTTTGGACTGTGGGAGGAAGGTGGAGTACCTGGAGAGAACCAACGCATGCTCAGGGAGAACATGTGAACTCCATGCAGAAAGACCCTGGGCCAGGAATCAAACCCAGAACCTTCTTGCTGCAAGGCAGCAGTGCTAACCACTGCGCCACTGAGCAGCCCGCTTTGTCTTCAATCATACCAAATTTCTGAAGTGCTCTACGGTTGTGATGTATTGCTGGTATATCTGATGCATTTATTGCTAGCTAAAGAATCAACCAACCCCGTGATCTCACTGCTTGGAGTAGTGGAACATGGCGGCGTCCTTACCAAAAACAACGCTTTGTTTTTTGTCTTTAGTTTATATTTTTTACTATTGTAATATAATTATTGATATCACAAATGAAGTTACTTTGGTTAAGCGTTTATTATCCACTTTATCCTGTAGACAACTGGCAAATAAATTAAAGGGAACAAGGGTGGTTTGATAGCCTTTAGTGGACATATTTTCCCACATGAGCTGCACATCCCTGCAGCTCCTCCATTTTTACAGTAAGGCGTTAGAGCTAGCTGACTAATTAAACGCTCCTCTCAACCCGACTGCCTTGTTTTTATGCTGCAGTTTTGGTTTTGGTTTGAGCAATGCTCTGTTACAGATGTTTTTCCTCGTTGTTTCGCAATGTTCTCTAACAAACATCAATGACAATAATTAATTGCAACACATAAAAAAAGATTCAAATCAAAACTTCTATCTTCAAGGTTATATTTATTTAATCTTTTGATTTGTCAGAACGTTCAATAAAGAATCCAGAATAAAGAAACTATAATTCACAAACTAACCTTTAATGTTCTGTGGGAGTTATTACGCTGCTAACACATACTGCCGTATTTATCATTGAAATAGGACTGATTCTGGTGCCAGAGTCAGATGAGGAAAAGAGAAAAGGCATTTCGATACAGGAGATAATATCCCTGCTATCTGCTGCAAGAGTTTCTTCAAATTGACCACTCTGCCTGACCATGCTGAATATGTTAAACAGTGAAGAGCTCTACAATTAGAATAGTAATAGGCAGATAAAATGCGAAGTCTAGCCGCTAAAAAGAAAAGCAAGAAATAGAAAGGCAGTTATTCAGTCTTTTATGAGAACTCATAGGTTATAAAGGATCCAATATAAATATGAAGAACACCCCCCCGACGTGTCATTTACAAAGAAATACTTCGGCCTGAAGCAGTATTTCTACACCTTCAACCCTTTTCTCATAATAAAATACAAGCGTGTTTTTACATGTAATTGTTACATGGAAATTGATACAGTAAATGGTTCAATTTTTATTAATTTGGTCAAATAATGTTATTATTATTATTATAGTTTTTATTATGACCCTCCCAATGAATGCAGTCCACCTGTATTTAATGTAATCTCAATATAAACTGTGGCTGCTCCAATTCAATATATCTAATAGTAATTTTATCTTCAAACACACTTGCATGCACATAATATATAAGCATGTGGCTGACCTGGCTATGTAAACAGTGACTGGAGAAAAGCACAAAGACATGGTGTGTGACGTCTTACCTTAGTCCATCTATAAAATATGCTTTTAGTTATTGAGTTATTTTTATCTAAAATAACAAAACTTTATTGCTCCTTTAAAGAAGCGATTCACAGGTCAGCAGGCAGTTCTTTTAATTTTCTCTTTTTGCGTGCATACATTCATTAATAAGCAATTCATATTCTAATGACCAAATCTCTTAAATATATGGATGGAAGATCTGCAAATATAAATAATTAATGGACACAAAGCAATTCTTCAAATCTGAAACTTAACAGCAGTCCCAGCTTTTGCCAATGTTTAACACTTTATAAAAGTCTGGTGGAAAGAAATGTGTTTTGCAGTGTATTGAGTCAAGCAGCTGTAGATAGGAGGCGGTTGAGGTAAATGCAGCTGTTTAGAGCAACTGTTTATAACCACTGTTAAACTGCTAGCAGAACAAGTATTGTGATCATTTTAATCTGGCCTGACCAGAGCAGTTTACCTGGCTTAACATTTGCAAGTGCAATCTATGGAGATCAACCACAATACACCTGCTAATTGCATGTGCAAAAGTATTCTGCAAATTGTTTAATTGTTAATAACATTCCAGAAACCCAATTATGCTTATAGCAGCTCTTCATATAGCAAGGAAGCATTATATAACTTATAGAACGTGCATTTCCTCTAAAGCTAAGCCCATCGGACTGCAGTCCCTGTCCCAGATAAAACGTGCGGATGATAACCCAATGTTGGTTCACTATTACTGACATCCAACAGTTTCTCGATGGGGTTTAGATCCAAGCTTTCAAGTAGACATTTAAAATGCTGACATCTTTTTAATTCAGTGCTCCATTAGACGTCACCAAAATAAATACCCAGATTTGATGAAGGAAATCACCCTCTGGACTGTGGTACAATGTTTCACCATGTTGAACGAAACTCAACATCACTCTGATTTTCTTCCAAAACCAAAAGGATCTTGTTGTTTTTATTTCTGCTGCATTTATCTGAAATATAGATTTTACTTTCGGCATCCTGAGTTGAGTAAGGACAGATC